CCTGCTTCTCCCTCTGCTGTGTCTCTGCCTCTCTCTGTGTGTCTCTCATGAATGAATGAATGAATGAATGAATAAATAAATAAATAAATAAATATTTTTTTAAAAGAGAGAGAGAGAGAGAGAGAGAGAGAGAGAGAGAGAGAGAGAGAAAGAGTATGAGCAGGGGGAGGGGCAGAGGAGGAGGGAGAGGGACAAGCACTCTGCACAGATCATGGGACCTGACACAGGTCTCCATCCCACGACCCCCGAGACTATGACCCCAGCCGAAATCAAGAGTCAGACGTTCAACCAACTGTGCTACCCAGGCGTCCATATTAGGCACTTATTATGTGGCAAGATCTGTACTGCCTTAGGCTCTTGGTGCTTAGATATCTATGGAACATCAGAATAACTTCAGGGTGAGCTCTGTTGGACCCTGGAGGGTAGCAGTTAAGCGTCTTGTGCAGTATTAAAGCTCCAGAGAAGACATGATTGGTAACTTCACCTTCTCATTTTAGGATTGAGCGGTGTACTGAGCTGTTTGGACATTCTCATACCTCCAGAAGCCAGATGGCTTAGACATTATCCTATCCTTCATTGTCAAAGGGTCTAGAGGGAAGCAGTGAGAGCACCAATACAAAGCCATCTGACTTCCAAGGGTAAAATCAATACTTTACATACCTGTTACACATCATAGTTTTCAAGTCTCTATCATGTATACTATCATTTGAATCTTAGCATAATTTTGAGGATTATGAATAGCTAGCAATAATAATAACTAGCATTCTTGTTGTTTTAAATATTTATTTATTTATTTATTTATTTATTTATTTATTTATTTATTTTTACAGAGAAAGAAGCATGGGTGGGAGGGGCAGAGGGAGAGGAAGAGAGAATCTCAAGCAGGCTCCCTACTGACGTCAGAGCCGGACGTGGGGCCCAATCCCACAACCCTGAGATCACCACCTGAGCCGAAACCTAGAGTCGGACACTTAAATAGTGTTATTATTATTCTTTTACAGTGCAGAAAACTGAGGTGCCAGGAAGTGACTCACTAGAACATACCAGCACCAGAACTAGCACTCAGTTTCCCATTCTTTTTCTTTTTTTTTTTAATATTTTTTAATATTTTTTAATTTTTATTTATTTACGATAGTCACAGAGAGAGAGAGAGAGAGAGAGAGAGAGAGAGAGAGAGGCAGAGACACAGGCAGAGGGAGAAGCAGGCTCCATGCACCAGGAGCCTGACGTGGGATTCGATCCCTGGTCTCCAGGATCAGCCCTGAGCCAAAGGCAGGCGCTAAACCGCTGCGCCACCCAGGGATCCCTCAGTTTCCCATTCTTAATCAAATGCTCTTACTCTGAACAGAAAACTCAGTGACCTTATAGCCACCCCATCTGTCCAAGAGATCTGCCCCCCACCCTCATCTCACAATGGTCTTTAAAATAAGATATAAGAAGGTCCTAAATGAAGGGAAGATTTTGCAGATAGATGCGGAGTCCAGGCAGCTAGCTGCTGTAGGGCGAGAAGGAGGAGGGATGGTTCACCCAGTAAATAGGGTGACACCACCCACTTTGGATCTTGACAGCAGGAAAGTCACTTCCTACATTTGAAGATCATAGAGCTATTGTCTGGGCCTCTACTTTAAAGGGAAGTCCAGTCCAGGAAGGGTTAATGACTTGCCCAGGAGAGTTTTGGTGAATTTGCAAGTTCATTTTGAACTATTCAGTAGGTGTTTCTACAACAAATACACTTGGTTTTTATTTACTTTTTTTTTTTAACAGTCTGAAGGATGTGATAAAGCTCTTCTAGTAGCTTTTCAATCTGAAAGGCATTTCTAAAACTCAAATGAAGCACAATGAGAAATTCTTCTCTTCAGCTGTTAGCCCTAACTCAAGGTTGGATGACAGGTTCGTGTCTGTCTGAGAAAGTAACATGAGGTTTCCAGGCCCCCTCCTAGGGGCCCCTTGGCGCCTTGGCTTTTCTCACCTCTCTCCTTATGGATGACTCTGATCTTTCTCCGAATCCATTATGTACCATAGATCCAAAGATAAAGAGCTGGGTTTCTACACACACACACACACACACACACACACACACACACACATACAAACTTTCACTCTGGGCTGCACTTTGCATGAGTGTAGCAGAAACAAAAGATGTTGCTTCCTCCTCATGGGAGAGATTGGCCGTTCTTACACAGGGAGGGGCAGAGGAGCTCTCCTTTGGAACTTGAGTCTCAGCTAGGGAAATGAATAGCATCCTGACTGGCCTCAGTGGAGTAGAAGTGGGGGAAAGGGTGGGGGAGTCCTGGCCGCAAGCTCCTGCCATGGCTTAGGAATCACTTTTATCCAGAGGCGCCAGACTTGGCACCCAGGGAGTCCAGTGAGTGGAGGGAAAATCATAACCAGCTTACCCCGGTTATTTGGGCATCTCTGCACTTCCTAATGAAGTGGGCATTTCACAAGGCGTGTGCAGGTCCTCTCCACAGGTAAGCAGGGATGTCCTGGCCCCTCCTACAGGCGGTGGGGCCTCTGGGGGGGGGGGGCAAGGCAGAGATAGCTGAGCCCCAGCCTGCCCCTGGGCAGCTGTGCCAGGGAACCCCCAGATGCTCCGCACCCTCACTTGGCTCCTCCACAGTAGCAGGAGGTCTCAACTTCTCTGTTTGCTTTAATAGAGTGTTAACCCCAGGCCCTAGAACTTGTGTTAACACTTAACACAAGGCTGGAACTGAGGGGAGAGGCTAAGGGTCTGGCAGCTGAGAGCAGTTTGAGAGTTTGAACTTGTGGGGAGGTAGGGAGGGTGGGAGAAAGGCAAGGCCCACAGCAGTTGAATGTCAGCTGGATTAAGCGAGTCCAGGACTGCTTTGCAAGCCCAAGACCATCCGTTCCAGCTTCTGTCACAGGCTGAGCCCCATCCTCTTTCTGGGCCTCAGTTTCCTGGTCTTTAAATGGGTAGATAGAGCCAAATATACTCCAAGGGACCCGGGACAGGGCAAGGGGAGTGCGGTGTGACCCTAGTGTGCACATGAGCCCCCCCCCCCAGCCCCTGGGGGTGTGATGAAATGCATATTCTGCTTCATGAAGCCTGAGGCAGAGCCTGTAGGAGGCTACACTTATCCCAGGCTTCCAGGTGACGCTGCTGTGCTGGCCACTGGCCCTGGCTTGGAGTAGCAAAGGAGTAGCACGCAGGATTGGGTTCTCCAAACTCATCTTTGCCCCTCACATAACTCCCTGCACTTAACTTCCTTGGCCCTGAAATGGGAACCAGTACAGGGAAGGGTTGCCTTGCCATCCTCCCCAGGGGGTGCTCTGAGGGTGAAGGGAGTGAAAGCATCTTCTAACGGGTAAAGCAGCATGCAGTGTGAGGGATTATTGTCATTGTTAAGATTTCGACACCTCACTGCCCCCCCCCTGTACATTCCTGCAGCTTCTCCACTTTTCCCTACATCCTCCCTGGTTTCCATGCCTGGGCTGATGATGAGTCAGTGTGACCAGCCAGGGCTGAACAAACACTCGGACATGTTGAGGCAGGAAATGACAATTCCCAGGCACCCCCGCTGTTTCAGGTGTGGAACAAACCATGGACACACCTTGAGCGATAAAGTCCAGTGATACCGGGTTGAACCCCACCCCTCACCCCAACCCCCTTCGGCTGCAAAACCAGGAAATAAGGCCAAAAGTCAAGGAAGTCCCCATAGGACCAGAGGCCTAAGCAAGCACTAGTTAGGTTTTCAGCAAGGTAAGTCACCAGTCTACCCTGTGATCCCATTTCGGCGCCCACCTCAGGCTGCCATGATATCTTTGTAGTGTCAGTTGTTCCCTAAGGACTTTCACAGATGGTTCCACAACCACCTTGGGAGGCAAGAAATTGAGGTGACAGTCACCTATACTTCAATAAAAGGAGGAAAAGAAACTAGAGTGACCAAGGCAAGTCATTTACCCATCGAGAACCTCGGGGACCCTCATCTATAGAATGGAATCGGCAGTATCTGTCTTACCCATGGTATAAATTGCTGTGGTCTCAGTCAAAAGGAAATAATTATATGAAAATAGGCACCGATTCTGTGAGGTTTTATTAGCCTTCATGAAGGACCCTCCACTTCACTAGACACTACCGACTGCCTCCAGTGAGGAACATCCTTGCCTTCGTGTCTGTAGTCAGACACCTCCCCTATTGTGGAATGTCCTCCACCCACGTCAAACCGCCATGACTGATGGAAACTGTCCCCAACTACCCCAGCTTCAGTGGGTGTCCCCCATTGTCCAAACAGTGCTGTTTCTCATCTTGCCCTTCTCAGGCCCTGAGGCCAAGTCCTTCCTGAACAACTTTGTTGTAAGGGCCTGGAAAGTAGGGATCCTGTTATATAATATACCCTGTGTCAGAATGGCAGGCCAGGCACAAATCTTTATCCCAAGACCCCTGCGGCTGAAAATCTGGTTCAGGTTTGCCCCGTGGAGTGAGAGCTTATGTGTTTTGATGGCAGAGAGAAGTGGAAGGCTGACCACACACTACAAATAGAAATGCCTCTTGCCCAAGCTGGGAGCACCGTTTGAAAGCCCACATGGTTAGGTGACTACCAAAATAACAAAACCAAAACTTGGCAGGGTATCAAACCAGTCAACTCCATGACCTGCAGGCACATCCAGGGCTCTCCTTCAGCCCAGAGTGGGTTCCTCCCACCTTTCCCACAGCTATTGCCTTGGGGGCTGAGAGGAGCAAATGGCAGTAGGAACCATTTTGCCCACTCTTGTCTCCCTGGCCTTTGAAATTCCTGAGGCCAGCAGGGGCCCAGGCCTGCAAAGTTGGGCCTCCAGACATGTCAGCCAGCCCAGGAAGCAGAGAAGTCTCATCTGAGGAAATACAGATCCTCAGGGAAGATCAAAAATAACCCAAAAGGACAAACCATGCATGTCTGTGTGTATATTGAGTTTCACATCTGAGGTCCAGTCTTGATAAATCTGATGATTTTGAAACATCTTCTTTAATTAATAAAAACAGAAGACTTCTTAGCCCCAGGTTTCAGACATCAAAGTTCTCCTCAGTTGAGAGCCTCAAATTTGGCTTATTTGTGGAGTACTGAAATCTCTTTTAAGACAAACACGGGATTTGGAATGGGTTGTTTGTCCTGCCTCTGTCCTGCCTCCTATCCCCTATTGCCAAACTGCAAGAACCACTTAAAAATTCTGAAATAGGAAGGCTAAACTGCAAACCCCTTTACTGGTACTGTAGCCATAGTTTCAAGATGAAAAATCAGCATGGATTTTAGTGGGTAAAGTGTAGGCTTTGGACTGAGAATCAGAATCTTGACCATACTCTTGGCATCGACATCTTGAACAAAATTTTCCTTTTCCCAGCCTTACCGTCTTGATCTGTAAAATGGGAATGTTAGCACCAACCTCATAGACTTGTTGGGGTAATTTCAGTGAGGTAATAGATGTAAAGTGACGATGCCTGGCACAAAATAAACAATAAATGTTGTTAGTTCTCTTGCCTTCCTGGATACCTGATCTGATCACAGAGCTAATTATTTGAGAGCAGGACTGTTCTAGAAAATCCAAATTGTGTGCTTATTTGTGTTTAGAGATACATTTCCCAAAGTTTTTCCATTCAAGGAGATGTTAGAATAACAAGGAGATGTTAGGTTTCCGAGGATATAGTTTGTCTTGTGTATATTCTGAGCCCTACCATCGGAATCCTATAACAGAGTGCCATGTGTAAATTTTCTCCCCACCCTCAGAAGCAGGGAGAACATTTTCATTTCAATCTAGCTGTAAAATGATTCTCCTCTTCCCACTTGGAGGGATAGAAATCTTGATGGTGGCTGTTTTAAAGGAGAGGAGGAAAAGGTCTCTGAGATCCTGTCTGGGAAATGCCAGTGTAAGCCTGACTTGGAAAGCTCTTCTGTTTGAGGCACCTCCCGGTCTGCTCTGAGCATGGAGCCAGTTGAAATTCTCCTTACTAGGCCCTGCCGTGATGACTGATCCCCTGGCCTCCCAGGCAAAAGGCAGGGGCCTGGCTCAACGACCTCCTAATGATGTGTGAGGGGCTCCGACATTCCTTGAGAATCATGAAAGGGTGTCTCCTAGCAAGCTGTGTCCTGTTTATAGAAAGGGTGAGGGCTGGGGTGGCAGGGCAGGACAGAGATGACAGGTAAAGGGACTTGATTTAAAAGTAGACTCCTTCCAGAGTTGCTCTTCTGGTCCTTTCTGATCTGATGTATGAAACCTGTACAGAGGTAGAATTGTTTCTGCCGTTTTCACACACAGGTTGGTGCACATTCCTGATACAAATTAAAAGGAAATATGTCAGATGTACACAGGGATGAGTCAACATCGCGTGCAGCCAGCCGTGGACACTGGGAGAGGAGTCAGATGCGGGCCATGGAGCTGCAGGCTCACCTGCCCCCAGCTGTGTCAAAACCAAGCACAGGGGAGGCACCACAGCAGCAGGCCCTGCCACAAATGCTCCTCAGGGGGCTACTGTCTGCGTCCCAGCGCACATGTTTCTGGCACGGGGCATTTTTTCTCTCTTAGCCTTTTCTTCATGTTTCTTTATGTGTTTTATACTGATTGCCAAAGTCACAGGAAACATAGAAAGGTATAAAGTAACAGAAGAGTCCCCAATAACCCAACTACCCAGAAGCAACCATGATGAACACTTTGTCATGAATTTTTTAAAATTTTTGTTGTTCTATGCTTCCTTTACATTGCTCGGTAATAATACTAACTATACAATCTTGTTTTGCTTCTCTTGTTTAGCATTATATCTTAAAGAATTTCCCCTATTATAAACATTACCTTTCATGACTCTCTAATAGTGTACTGCAAGAAGGAAGTATCATTTATCTAACAAATGCCCTATTTTAAGACATTGTTAACATGGCAAGGAGCATCTTAATGCGTGAAGGCTTGTTGGCATCTTATTTACTTGGGCTCGATTTCTGGAGGTGGACTCCTAGATCCATAGTTGGGCATTGTTTTAAAGCTTTTATTTATTTAAATAAGGGAGAGGCAGAGACATAGGCAGAGGGAGAAGCAGGCTTCCTGTGGGGAGCTGATGCAGTATTTGATCCCAGGACCCCAGGATCATGACCTGAGCTAAAGGCAGACGCTCAGCCACTGAGCCACCCTGGTGTGGGCATGTTTTTAAAAGGCTCTTAATACGTATTGCCCTTCAGGTAGTTTATAACAATAATATTCCCTCCAGCAACAGTCCATCTCATTTTATCCTTACCCATGTTGAGCATGATTCTGTTTATTTATTAAAGAATTTAGGAGCTGAAGCATCCCCTTCAGATAGAGTGAGATGGAGAGAGATCAAAAGGATGGAAATGAGCTAAGAGCCACCTGCCCTGCCTCCTGTGCCCCCTGCAGGCATTCTCAGAGAAGTGAGGGATACACACCCACTTCTGTACCATGAATCCCCATCGAGGGCTCTTGCTATGGAACCACTCAGCTTTAATAATGGAGTTCCCCCACCAGTGTTTCTCATCTAGCACTTGTCTTCTGGCCTTGAGGTATCCCCAGGCTACTTTCTTCACTTTTTAAGCCTTCCACAGAATCCCAGTGCCCCTCTGAAGAGTTGCTCACGTAGTCCCATGGTGGTCCTCTGTATTAAGGTGGCCCTGTGTAGTTCCACATGGCACTCTTTCATGCGCCATCTGATCAGATGCTCACAACAACCTGGAAGGCAGGTACACATTTCCCTGTTTTATAAGCATATTCCTTTCCTAGGGCTGCCGTACCAAATTACCACAGCCCTGGAGACTTAAAACAACAGACTTGTATTCTCTCAGACTTCTGGAGGCCAAAAGTTCAAAGTTAAGGTGTCAGCAAGGTCACACTCCCTCCTTCAAAGGTTCTAGGGGAGACTCCTTCCTTACCTCTTCCAGCTTCTGGTGGCTCCTGGCATTCTTCATCTTGTCACAGCACAAGTCCAGTCTCCGCCTCTGTCTTCACATGGCCATCTTTCTGCTCTATGATCTCCTCCTTCCTGTCATAAGGGTACCAGTCACTGGATTTAACACTCACCCTAGCTCTAGGATAGTCTCATCTTAGATCCTTACTCTCTGCAAAGACCCTATTTGCAGATAAGGTCACATTCTGAGGTGGACATATTTGAGGAGAATTGTGATTCAAACCACTACAACAGGTAAGCAAACCAAGGTCCAAAGAGGTTAAATGACTTTCCCAAGGTCATATAGTGAGAAAATAGCAGGAGATGGCATTTGAACCCAGGTCTTCTGTTTACCATATACCTTTAAGTAAGAAAAACAACAACAACAAAAGACACTAGTATGAATGCTTAATTATGTTTTCTGGTTCATGGAAAATGAAATGTGGTACCTTTTACCCTTGGATACATCAAACATCATTTTACCATTACTCTGTTAGTTTGGCCAGTATGATGAATACCTTCTGTGGGAGCCACTCATTTACTGTCCATGTAGTAAGTGGGGGAAATTCAGACCTAGAGTGGCCAGGAAAGTTAATGGGAGAAGTCCAATTACAACCTAGGTATCTTGAGTTGTGATCTGTATCCTCTTCTTTAAAGTGTGAGTTGTGATCATACATTGCACTTGTGAAAGCAGTGGCCAAAACAACTACTCTGTTAAATTGTAAAGAAATCTCAGTGTCCCATTTTACTATTGAACTCTGCTTCTCTAGCTTAGGACTCCTTGATATATTGGCCACACAGGAAGGTCTGTTCACAGACCTATGATGAATGATGAATAATCCCTTCCCAGCAGTGGCCGCAAGGGCCTGTGAGAACAGATGTGCACAACATCATCACATCTGGCACATCAAGATCTCCTGGCTTGCCAACATTAGCAAAGGCATTTCTCTACGGCTGCTACCTTTCCTTTTTCTTGCTGAATTTACTTCTGAACTGGAGTAGCAAATCCTTTTTTTTTTTTTAATGTTTTATATATTTAAGTAATCTGTAAAGCCAACAAGGGGCTCAAACTCACAACCCTGAGATCAAGAGTTACATGCTCTTCCAACTAAGCCAGCCAGGTGCCCGATTGGTGTAGCAAATTCTCTTAAAATGCCCTAACCCCAGGGCACCTGGGTGACTCGGTCAGTTGAGCATCCAACTCTTGATTTCAGCTCAGATCTTGATCTCAGGGTCATGAGTTCAGGCCTTGCATTGGGCTCCATGCTGGGCATGGAACCTACTTTAAAAATTAATTATTTAATTTAATGTAATATAATTTAAAAAATTAAAATGACCTAACCCCAAAACCCAAACCCTACAGCCAAATGGATCAATATAGGATAAATGTGGTTTGGTGACGATTAGACAATCTGAATCATAAAAGATTGCCGAGGTCTAGGCTCCTTTGCTGTATACCATGTCTGTGGCTGTGGGAGCATGGTTACCTTACAAACCACTCTAAAGGATTGAGGGGGACAGACAGGGTCCTCCTATTCTCTCACCTTCCCACAGTGAGCCAATCTCTGTTAGTCATCACGTAGTGCATATTGACAGTGAAATATGCCTGCAGCCACACCCGGTTGCCAGGTAAAGCTAAGCTGCACCCGGTTGTCCTCAGCCTGTGCTTATCTGAACCAACCTGTAATGCAGAGAGGAGCTCTCCCTCATAGTACCAGTCTCAGGCTCTGTTCAGTGAGCTAGTTTGGGAAACAGGCAAAGAGGCCTCTCCAGTGATTGTTTTCATCCTGCCTGGAATCATCTCTTGGTTACTGTGGACATCATTACTGTCATGAGCTCTCATCCAGAAGGGCTCATGTTGAATGGCGAGTTTTGCTCCTGCTCCCTGGCCTTGCTAGTGGCTGGAAATCTGATCAACAGGCTCTCATCAAAGTCCAAATCCTGGGCTAAACCTAACTGATGACAGGGAAGGCTGTGCCAGGGTGTCCTAAATAGCTGGGGTGTGATTAGACACTATCAGCGTAGAGGAACACCCCACCTCCCTTGGGGCCCCCTTCTCCCCTCAGGCTTCGTTGCTCCTCAACAATGGTATACAAAAGACAGAGCACGTGTTCCCCTAGGCTCCCCAGGAGCTGTGGGCTTACCAGCTGTCACAGCATGTCTTTAATGGGTTTGTGAAACCCAAGAACCTGACCCATTTTCCTCTGGGGAAAGGGTGTAACAGGATGCGAGCTGGGAAGCAGGATTTGGGAAGCTCACCTGTATGAGCCTGGCTTTCTGTGCCATCCCAGGCAAATTGTTTGGTTCTTTCAATTCCCAAGGTCTCAAACCTAAAATAAATGCACAGAAAGCAGGAGAATGATATCATGAAATTGTTTCCTACTCATTTGTAACGTCCCTCCTTCCTCTTAATTAATTTTAGCTCCCTTTTCTGCCTACCTCCATCTCATTCGTCCCAATCCTGGACCTAGATGTTTAGGCTCTGGGATCTTACCCAAAAGGTATTGACTCCAAAGTGACTGTCACATTTTTTTAGATGGTCCTAATCAGCTGATAAGCAAGCATAATTTGAGTAAGCATGATGCACAAAGTTCTGTACTTATTATAGACTTAATGGATTATGGAGAAATCCATGCCCTCAAGGAGCTTCTAAAGAAGGTTGGAGAGCAGATCATGAGAATCACGTAAGGCGTAATGGGAATGACACCATGGAACTGATCTAATTAACCTAGGATCCAAAGATGGGCTTCAGAGGCATACAGAATCATAATCACTTTATGTTTTATGAAATTCCTTACATAATTTTATGTATTCAAACATACATTTTTCAAGCAAGTTCATAGTCATAGCTTTCATCAGCTTCACCCGGAAGGTTAAGAACCTGCCATGCAAACAGAATTTATGGAACAGCTCTCATTATAACTCAGGTAGTCACTCAAGGTTTCACTGAGCAGGTGAGACTTAAACCGAATCTTAGAAAATGCTGTGCAGAGAATAGCAGGGTGATAGGCAGCCCTAAAGGAAGGGCTTCCCAGGAGGCATCAGAGCAGGACTATCACACCTAAACCCATGCCCTTAAATTAACTCACCTTTCTCCCTCAGCCTCAGCAAAATACAGGTCTGTAACATGGTGACAATTGCTGCTTCCAAGAGATTTGTGAAGGACCATGAACCTTTTTTATTTTTTTCTCACTATGTATCCCTATACCTCAGTGCCATGCTTGACTCATATCATAGTGGACACTAATCAATATTTGATGAATGTGTGAGTTAACTGAAATATTAAACATGGGGGGGCTTTGCAAACAGCAGAGCATTGCTTCAGCAAAAGATCTTTGTTGCTAAGTATGTGTATTTTGTGCTTTGCAAACAGCCTGCACTGTCTTCTCCCCCTTAAAACTGACCCTTTCTCCCATAATGGGACTCAGAGGGCCAGCTCATCTGATGGAGTGTCTCTGGGCTGACCTAATGAATGATAGCCGGGCCAACAATGCTGACAAGATGCGCAGTTGCCTAAGAACACAGAGGTGACCTCACTCTCAAAGGGCTTGGCCTGTTAACCCCTGCCCTTGGTGACACATATATGTACCTGCAGCTCTCTCTCACTCCAGGACTAGGGTAGTCCATGAGCTCCTTGGCTATCTTCGTCTACACTGGCAGGGATGGAAGGGAAATATAAAGAAGGGGGCACTGCAGGGATTCCTTCTAGCACAATAAGCAGGATCACTAATTCTAGCCTCTCTGTGACTTCTCAGGACAGTAGAGACGATGCAGTGCCCCTCTGCTGGACATTTCTTATAGCCCCAGCCTCCTACCCACAACATTGTAGCAATGCCCATGTTAAGAGAAAATAGACCAGGGCACTTGGGTGGCTCAGTGGTTGAGCATCTGCCTTTGGCTCAGATCGTGATCCTGAGGTCCCATGATTGAGTCTACATCAGGCTTCCCACAGGGAGCCTGCTTCTCCTCTGCCTGTGTCTCTGCCTCTCTCTGTGTCTCTCGTGATAAATAAATAAATAATCTTTAAAAAAGAAAAAAAGAAAAAAAAACAGAGAACAGATTAGATCTTCCATCCATGCATTTTCCCTCCTATGCACCTTCGAACAGACAGGATGACTCATCAGCTAATATTACCATATACTCCAAGAAAGCTGGGCTGGTTGGGAGTGGGAAAAGTTTTTTAAAAGTATCGGTTGAAGGTAACAAGAGTCTTTCAGAACAAGTTAGGAAAGATAGAGGTGATTTCTCCACATAACAGTTCTCCACTGGAAGGGAGGGAAAAATAAAATAAGATGAAATCTGAGAAGGAGACAAATCATAAGAGACTCTTAACTCTAGGAATCAGACTGAAGGATGCGGGAGGAGAGGTGAGGGTTGGGGGATGGGGTAACCGGGTGATGGGCATTGAGGAGGGCACATGATGTGGTAAGCACTAAGCATTAGATGCAACTGATGAATCACTGAACTCTACCCCTGAAACTAATAATACACTGTATGTTAATTGAATTTAAAATTTTAAAAAATAACAGCTCTCAGGGCACCTGCGTGGCTCAGCCGGTTAAGCGTCTCTCTATGGCTCAGGTCATGATCCCAGGGTCCTGGGATCGAGCCCCAGGTCGGGCTCCCTGCTCAGTGGGGAGCCTGCTTCTCCCTCTCCCTCTGTCATTCATTCTCCCTGCTTTCTGTCTCTCTCACATAAATAATTAAATAAAATCTTAAAAAAAAACAAAACAAAACAAAACACAGCTCTCCACTGCAGATGCAACTGAGAGAAGCAGTATGTAAACTGATAGAATGAACTCCAGGCTAAGAATGAGGGCCTGTGTTCCGGGTCTGCCACTGAGACAATCTCTCTGAGCTTCCAGATCCTCTCCCATAATAATTGAGTAGTACCTGCACTACCTCTCAGGATGTGGTGATTGTCAAGATGTATGATGATGCCTCCAGTCGAATAAAGTTGTCCATCTTTGTATTAACACATACATGAGCACAGCTCTGACATGCAGAGCACTTAGTGCCAGGGGATTGTGCATTTATCGAATGCAATTTCACAACAACCCTGTAGGATTGTGTTGTTTTTCCATTTTTATGGATGCGGAACCAGAGGCTCAGAAAGGTAAAGAAACTGCCAGGACACGCACAGTTAATATGTATTTAGAGCCTACATTTCAGTCCAGATCTATTTCCATTCTCCACCACCTCCTGACTCTTCTCTCCTGTATACTGTTGTTTTGTCCCTAACATATACATGCTCCTCTGGTCTTTACCATCTGTCATAGACCAGGCCCACCCTTTTACCTGAACCATTCTTGTCAGAACATCTTGCAGGCCGATTTTATTTTTCCTCTTGGCCCTGCTATCTGCTCACCTGCCCTGACCTCTAAGAACAGCATGTACTAATACCAGCTGAGTACCTTGTAGAGGCAGGCATACTGCTCTTATGGAATGACAAAAGGTAAGGGCATCCCCGTTCTCAAGACAAGCTCTGAGCCGTGTCTGTCTGTAAGAAAGCTGCCACCACAGCCCTGAGGGTACAGGGAGGAGGAGTGTCCGTGTCTCATTCCTGATTCCCTCATCTGGAAGTCACTAGATATGCATGTCCCAGGCAGACCCTTCAGAGACACAGTGATGCTATAGCTCTCAATCTTGTCAGTTACAAGGAGGCAGCACTAGAGGACAATGCAGGCTCCTGGCAGGAACCTTGCTTAATCTTTCCTTCCTTCGAGGCAGGGTGATTAGTTCTACTTCAGAGACAGAAAAAGGACATAGAGGGACTTGCCTAATATCACCTACTGAGTGGGTAGTGTAATCAAAAGCTTAGTTAGCTATGTCATTCATCCCTGTGTGTCCTTAGGGACTGGGCACCTTTGAGTTGTTGCTAATGCTGGTCTAGTGGTGGCTCTGGGCTTGGCACTGCCAAGGCATGGCTGCCCAGTTCAGGCCCTCGGCGGTCCGACACCCATAGCACCCCACCTCCACCACCAGTGCCTGGCTCCCCAGATCCATCCTGACCCTACGTGATGAAGAGGGAAGGTGGTATCAGGTAGCTCCCCATTCCTGGGTCCTACCTGATGACCTGATTCCCAGCACCCCAGTCTCAAGGGGGCCTCTTCCTGGGGAGATACATTTATAGATGTTGCCCATCCTCCCAGCACCAGGAATCTACCCTGCAATTAGGCGAGAGATAAATCAAAGCCAAACTTGGCTGATGACATTCAGGAGCCAGTGGTGACCCTTGCCACACATATAAATCCCAGCGGGCCAGCCAAGGGCCTTTGTCTGGTCAGAAGAGCTCAGGATTATCTGGCCCTCTTTGCTGATGTATGGAGTCACCGGCTGTCGGAGTGTTTACTAACGGTTATCACCTCGATGCTTTGGCCATTATCAGAGGCAGGGCCGCCTGCCGGGGCTGGGGCTCGCACCCTCTCTATTACCACCTGTCATTGGCAGAGAGTGTGTGCTGACGCTGCCCAGTCCTGACCGCCTAGGAAAGATAGTTTCTGACGGCTGATCAAAGAGGAGAAGCAAGGCCTGATAAAAAGTGTGTGTTGTGCGTACTTTTAACTTTAGGAAACATTGGCATTTGCATTTTTCCCCCATCTTCTTGGTGCTGGCAGGAACCAAGCCCAATAAATGCAGAGGATTCAGTTACCTAATCACTGGGAAAATGGTATGTGCTTAAAGCAACAGAGCATGATGATAATCTCCTTCCAAGAGAGAGTAGACGAAATAAGCTTTCACAGAAGACTTGCTGTATAATAGAGTAGAATAATTTAAATTTAGACTTTGAAGTGATCTTGCATGTAAAATCTCATCTTGGCACTGGGCAGAGCACCATGTACTTTCTGGAATTGGAGCGCAGCTTTGGGTTAAGGAAGAATTTTTGCTGAAGATTCTATCACACAACTCTGTTGCTAGCATCCCCTACCCGCCTGCCCCCCGCCCCGCCTTGCCCATCTGTCCTTGGGCAGCTACGAGACCGCATGCAGTAGAGTACAATGAGCTCCAGATTGAAGCATCATCAGGTGATCTGAGTTCCTAAACCCGGTCTGTCACAAACTTGCTGTTGGATCTTGGGCCATTACTTTTCTGAGTCTCAAATGTAAAATGAGGAGGTTTGGTACAGGTTATGGGTTATAGTAGGTTGAAAACTTTTTTAAGGAACATCTGGGTGGCTCAGCAGTCGAGCATCTGCCTTCAGCTCAGCTCATGATCCCGGGGTCCTGGGATCAAGTCCCACATCAGGCTCTCCATGGGGAGCCTGCTTCTCCCTCTGCCTGTGTCTCTGCCTCTGTGTGTGTGTGTCCCTCATGAATAAATAATCTTTTTT